GGAGGGTGGGGGCTTAGGCTCAGTGCAGCAGCAGTGGCCCAGGAGTGCCTCTGGCTTTGGAGGGTGGAGGACCAGGTCCAGGACCCCAGCAGGCTCCCTGGGCCCGAGAGGGCAGGGGAAACGCTAGGTGAGTTCCCCCCGATCCTCCAATCCCTGGAGGGCCCTGCCCCATTGGCCTCTCTTCTTCTTCCCCCCCTCCTCCCTCCTATGCCTCTAGGACCCACAGATCCAGAGGGGGCCCCAGAAGGCAGGGGACCAGACCAGGAAGCCCAGCAGGCTTTCCGGGGGCAAGTGGGCAGGGGAAACGCCCTCTGTGCCTCCCCGATTCTCCAATCAAAGAGGGCTTTGGGGCTTCCCTGGTGGTGCAGTGGTTAAGAATCCACCTGCCAATGCAGGGGATGTGGGTTCAAGCCCTGGTCCGGGAAGATCCCACATGCCATGGAGCAGCTAAGCCCATGCGGCACAACTACTGAGTCTGCACTCTAGTGCCTGCGAGCCACAACTACTGAGCTCGTGTGCCACAACTACTGAAGCCCGTGAGCCTAGAGCCCATGCTCCGCAACAAGAGAAGCCACTGCAATAAGAAGCCCACGCACTGCAACGAAGAATAGCCGCAGCTCGCCGCAACTAGAGAAAGCCTGCGTGCAGCAATGAAGACCCAACACAGCCAAAAATAAGTGAATTAATTAATTAATTAAAAAAAGAAAAAGAAGGCTCCATGCTGTCCTCCTCTCCTCTTCTCCCCCTGCCTCCCTCCTACGCCCCTAGGACCAACATGGCCCAGAGGGGGCCTCAGAGGGCAGAGGACCTGGCCCGGGAACCCTGCAGGCTTCCCGGGGCCCGATTGGGCAGGGGAAACGCTAGACTTGCTCCCCCTGATCACCAAGCCCCCCAAGCGTTCCTCCAGTTATGAGAACCCCTTCCCCCTCCCAGCCACCCCTCAGGGGCGCCGGTCCTGTCTGACCTCCACTTCTCATCCCCCCTTACTCCCCCCACGTCCTACCCGGCCTCTCAGGGGTTCCTCCCATCTCCTTAGGCATCGAGGTCCCCTACCAGTGTCCGGCCAGCGCCCTAGTTGTGGGGAGGCATGAACTCAGTGTCCTCCCCTGCCGCCATCTTGACTCTGCCCCATAAGTTTATTTTCTACATCTGTAACTCTATTTCTGTTTTGTAGATAAGTCCATATGTAGCCTTTTTTTGGATTCCACATATAGGCGATATCATATTTGTCTTTCTCTGTCTGACTTACTTCCATCAGTATGACAGTCTCCAGGTCCATCCATGTTGCTACAAATGGCATTATTTTGTTCTTTTTTATGGCTAATATTCCATTGTATATATGTACCACATCTGCTTTATCCATTCATCTATCGTTGGACATTTACATTGTTTCCATGTCCTGGCTATTGTAAATAGTGCTGCAATGAACATTGGGGTGCATGAACCATTTTGAATTATGGTTTTCTCCAGATATATGCCCAGGACTGGGATTGCTGGATCATATGGTAGCTCTATTTTTAGTTTTTTAAGGAACCTCTATACTTTCTCCATAGTGGCTGTACCAGTTTACATTCCCACCAACAGTGTAGGAGGGTTCTCTTTTCTCCACACCCTCTCCAGCATTTATTGTTGTAATTTTTTGATGATGGCTATTCTGATGGTGTGAGGTGATACCTTATTGTAGTTTTGATTTGCATTTCTCTAATAATTAGTGATGTTGAGCATCTTTTCATGTGCCTCTTGGCCATCTGTATGTCTTCTTTGAAGAAATGTCTATTTAGATCTTTCGTCCATTTTTTGGTTGGGTTGTTCGTTTATTTGATATTGAGCTGCATGAGCTGTTTGTGTATTTTGGATATTTTCTCCCATTCTGAGGGTTGTCTTTTCGTTTTGTTTATAGTTTCCTGTGCAAAAGCTTTGAAGTTTAATTAGGTCCCATTTGTTTATTTTTGTTTTTATTTTCATTACTCTAGGAGGTGGATCCAAAAAGATCTTGCTGCGATTTATGTTATAAAGTGTTCTGCCTAGGTTTTCCTCTAAGAGGTTTATAGTATCTGGCCTTACATTTAGGTCTTTAATCCATTTTGAGTTTATTTTTGTGTATGGTGTTAGGGTGTGTTCTGATTTCATTCTTTTACATGTAGCTGTCCAGTTTTCCCATCACCACTTATTGAAGAGACTGCCTTTTCTCCATTATATATTCTTGCCTCCTTTGTCATAGATTAGGTGACCACAGATGCATGGGTTTATCTCTGGACTTTCTATCCTGAACCATTGATCTATATTTCTGTTTTTGTGCCAGTACCATACTGTTTTGATTACTGTAGCTTTGTAGTATAGTTTGAAGTCAGGGAGTCTGATTCCTCTGGCTCCGTTTTTTGTTCTCAATATTGCTTTGGCTATTCAGGGTCTTTTGTGTTTCCACACAAATTGTAAAATTTTTTGTTCTATTTCTGTGAAAAATGCGATTGGTAATTTGACAGGGATTGCATTAAATCTGTGGATTGTAAAGCTTAATTCCTGATTGGATTGAGGTGTTCAACATTTCACCGTGTCTGCCTAACATAAGAAAGAGTGAATCCATTGTTTGGGGCATAGGTGTTGTCAACGGGGGTATAATATCAATTTCTGTTTCTAGGATTCCATTATTTTATGATAATGCCAAGCATACAATAAAAAAATATATGAGACATATAAAGAAACAGAAAAATGTGGCCAATAATTGAGAGAAAAAGTAGACAACAGAAGCTGACTTATAGATAATCCATATTTGGAGATGACAGAAAAAGACTTTAAAATAAGTATAATAAATACATTGAATAAAATAGAGGAAAAGATCAATGGGTTAAAAAGTTGGAGAATTTTAATATAGGATTGGAATCTAAAAATAAGATGTACATTTCTACAATTGGAAAATATAGTATCTAAAATGAAGAACTCATTGAATGAGATTAAATAGGGTAGAAGTAGACTGGACACAGCAGAAGACAGAGTTAGTAAACTCAAAAGTCAGATTAATAGAAAATATCCAAAAAGAAGAACAGAATGTAAAGAACAGACCATAAGGAACTCAGGGAACACAAATAGACTAACATATATGTAATTGGAGTCCCAGAAGGAAAATAGCAATAAGAGCAGAAGCAATATTTGAAGACAATATTTGGCTGAGAATTTTCTAAAAGTGATGAAAAATAAACTTTATTCAAAGTGCATGAACCTCAAGATACCTTTACTGACTAACCATAACCTTTCTCCAGGGCCTCCATTCTGCAGCACTTATATCTCTGCTTCTTTCATTTCTGTGAGTTACTACATTCTCAGAATTTGTTTGGAGGTTTTTCCTTAAGAATGTGCTGTGTCTCCCCAGCTTGCTTCTTAAGAACAAGGGCTATTTTTAGTATTATTTATTTTATATCCTGTAATATTGATATAGTTTGCTATACAATACTTAATATACTAACAGAATTTTTCACCTATGTAATAAAATGCCCAGCACAATTTCAAGTCATTTTTGTCATATTTATTTCTGAACACCAATAATTTATCAATCAGGGCTCAGTTAAAAAAAATGGAAACCATATCAGCTATTTTGGTAAAGAGAATTTGACATTAAAAAATTGGCTAGGGCTTCCCTGGTGGTGCAGTGGTTGAGAGTCAACCTGCCGATGCAGGGGACATGGGTTCGTGCCCCGGTCCAGGAAGATCCCAAATGCCGTGGAGAGGCTGGGCCCGTGAGCCATGGCCGCTGAGCCTACACATTCGGAGCCTGTGCTCCGCAACGGGAGAGGCCACAACAGTGAGTGGCCCGTGTACTGCAAAAAAAAAAAAAAAAATTGGCTAGCACATATTGAAGGGCTGGGAAAAAAAAAAAGAAAAAAGGACACTGAAGTAACTGTAGGAACCCTAGGTCTGGGAAGACAAGGAAAGAGATTAGAGTTATTAGAGCCTAGAAGCTTGGAGGAGAGGTCCCATAGAACTAGGACCATCAGCACCTGAGGAGAGGGTGCCCTGAACAGCTATGACTCACATCTCCATGGAGGGTTATCTGCCTGGCTGGTTCTGGAAGGCTGTATTTTCCAAAAATGGTTACAATACCTGACATCTCACATGCTCTTCATACAATCTGACTTTGAAACTCTTCACTGAGAGATGAGGTCTGTGTTTGCTCCCCTCGAATTTGGGCTGGCTTATCAGTATATGGTAGTAGCTCTATGTGACTTGTGAGGCTAGGTCATAAAAGATGATACATCTTTCACTTGTAACTCTTGGGGCACTCACCTTTGAAGCCTTCAGCTGTCTGAGGTCGCCATGCTGAGAGGAAGCCCAACTAGCCTACATGGAGAGACCCTGAGGCTACATGGAGACATGCCCAGCCAGCGCCCAGCTGCTTCAGCACCTGGCTGTTCCAGCTCTAGCCACAATTTGACAGCAACCACATGAGACACCTGAGCCAGAACTTCCCTGTGAAGCCCTTCCTAAATTCCTGATGCCTGGAAACATAAGAATTAGTAAAATAATTATTGTGGAAAGTCACTGAGTTTTGGGGTGGTTTGTTACACAGCACAGATAACCAGAACACTGGTACTGTTATCTCAGGAGCTCAGAGGAGCTGCCTCACAGAGCTGTGACTGAAACCCCCAACAAGGCTAGCTTTGGAAGTGCCAGAAAAAGTCTAGAAACTGAAATTAACTGCTACTGTCAGAGTGAAAGGCCAATGTTGAGACAATATTGACAGGGTTGGCAAGCAAACAGAAAGTGTCTAGTCCTTCCTTTTGGCAGTCTAGTAGAGAGCCAGCTTGGCAAAGGAGAAATGTAGTTTTCAGAGTTCTAGCCCCAGTTCATAAGTCAGAGTACTGATAACTATGTAAAAATGTTAGATTCTCTCTGTACATTTGACCTTAGCAAATCTATGTATCTAACATATCTTTAGCATAATTTCATACCTTATGGAAAAGGCTTCACTTAATAAAAACATGCGTGCAGTCTTTGGTTTCTCTTACCGCAGGTATGATCCGAAGGAGAACAAGTGGACTCGGGTGGCTTCTATGAGTACTAGGAGACTAGGCGTGGCTGTGGCTGTGTTAGGAGGGTTCTTATACGCTGTAGGTGGCTCTGATGGGACATCTCCACTCAACACAGGTTAGTTCCTTCCAAAGTCAGTCTGGTTTCCCCAAAGCAATACATTTTTTCTTAGGAGAGTCCCCTTACAAAAAGTATAAAAAGTTCATGTTATCCTATCATTTATTAAGAAAATTATTTTCCCTCTAGGAGAGTTCAACTGTTAGCTCTTCCTCAGCTCCTTCTGCAGTCATAGTCTACTAGTATATTCCCAAAGTATTTCTTTCTCCCTTCATTTCACAAGTTGCTAGGAATTTATAATGAATAAAACAACTATTTTCTTAATATTATTTCCCTCCCCCAACCATCTTTCCTTAAAAAACAAATAAAATCCTCTGTATTATAATCTAAAAATAAATAAAAACTTATAAACTGGTTTATAGTCTAATCCTGTCATTTAAAGATAAGGAGAGATGCCACGAGTCACGTAGCTAATGAGTCATATAGCCAGAACTAGAACTAGGTACCTTAACTCCAACACATGCCCCTTCCATCAACCATACCTAAAAGAAATCAGTCCCTGATGAGAATATAGTAGTATTATCCAAAGGTAGATGATTCCTTCTCAGAAGCAAAAATCAGATTGCTTATTGAAAATATATGTTATCACAAAGTGAAGGTAGCTATGAAGAAAACTAGAGGTGAAAGGAAATGATTGCATGGTCACTTACTGGTTTTTCTTTTCCCTGCAGTGGAGCGTTATAATCCTCAGGAAAACAGATGGCACACCATAGCCCCTATGGGGACCCGGAGGAAACACCTAGGCTGCGCAGTGTATCAGGATATGATCTATGCCGTAGGAGGCAGAGATGACACTACAGAGCTTAGCAGTGCTGAGAGATACAACCCCAGAACCAACCAGTGGTCTCCAGTGGTGGCTATGACATCCCGCCGTAGTGGAGTAAGTGCCCGGCTACTGAAAACTTTGAAAAGCAAAAGCACCAAGAGAGGGCTGTGCAGAAGGAGAAGTCTGATCTGTAAAGTATAATACAATGGGACAGTGAGGAGATGCACTGTATAGGCAAAACAACCCGTCACTTTTGTACTGGAAAAAAAAGTTAATTTCTTTTGATTACTATTATCTCAAGAAGTTAAATATCTTATATCCAATCATATCTTTAATTAGAGAATTATTTTTATGATTTATTTACTTTTATTGAAGTATAGTTGATGTATAATATTAATTTCTGCTGTACAGCAAATGATTCAGTTATACATATATACATTCTCTTTTAATATTCTTTTCCATTATGGTTTATCACAGGATACTGAATATAGTTCCCTCTGCTATACAGTAGGACCTTGTGGTTTATCCATTCTATATACAATAGTTTGCATCTTATGATTTATCTTGTAATCAGTTGCTTCTTTGAAAGGCATCGCCCTGTCTTATCTACTACCTTATCTAACTTCACTCGAATTCATTGATATTGGATTGGATTGGATATATAGATTCATCCATATCTAATAGAGAGCAGCTTCTTCAGCAGCCACTGTGTTTTGGTCCCATAGGTTGGCCTGGCCGTAGTGAATGGACAGCTCATGGCTGTAGGAGGTTTTGATGGCACAACGTACTTGAAGACCATTGAAGTTTTTGATCCTGATGCCAATACATGGAGGTAACCTTTAAGCTATGTTGCAAATCACCTCACTGCTGACTTGAAAATCATGGGCTTGAGATAAAACATGACCATCAAAATCAAGATGGTCAGTATACTGAATTACCTCTTGCAGTACTTTGAAAAGGGCTCAAAGTTACCCATATTCGATGGCTTATTTTGACTTCATTGCTCTAAAGTGGCTGACATCTTACAAAATTCCTCTCTTTGGTAACTGTCCAGTTTTATAATTGGAGGTAGCAAAAACAGAAAAAACAATCTCCCCTCTAGCTCCGTCACATTCAGCTGAGGAAACTAAAGCACTGAGAAATAGAGACCTGCCTAAGCAAGTTAGTGACAGAGTTAGAATTAGAACCTAGACCTTTGGCTGTCAATCTGTCATTGCAATTTTTATGCCCAGGAAAAACAAATTGCAGTTACCGTTTTAAAAATAATATTTTATTTCATTTTAAAACTGATTTTTTCTCTTGAGTTTTAAAAATATTTAAATATGTTATTACTCTATTTTAATGTCTAGTAAATTGTAACAGTCACTTTTAGCAAGGAGGCTACATCTTACTTAGGAGAGTTTAAGTTAAGCTGTATCATAGGCTTAATTTTACTTTGCTTTTAAATCCTTAATTGTCTAACAAATCCTTCCTAAATACTTAAGTAGTTCTTATAAATTCACATAAATTGGGTGACTCTTGCATTTATTTTAAATATTCAAAAACTTTTACAAATGTAGCAAAATTCTCTTAAACCTTTCAACTTAAAATCCTAAGTCTAAATCTTTGCTCAGTCATACATTTTAAACTTGATCTTTGCTCAATCACACATTTTAAGCTTGATTGACAAAACTAATCTGATAGATGCTCTAATATGCCAAAGTCTCTTAAACACTATAAGTTTAAAAGGTCAAATATATAGTTAATTCTCATTTTTAATATAAAATATTAATAGTATGGGTTTGAGGTACTTTATATCTATACTAATATCTATTTTAAATACTAGCTTTGAAAAAAAAACAGTTTTACCTTCTAAGCAGTTCTTTCTCAAAGAATTGGGCTTATTTGCCTAAACACGTCTGGGGTAACCATCTCAGTGGTTGAGGTTGCACATAAATCACAGATAGCAGTCTAGATATGATATCTGAGGCAGAAGACATTCTGAAAGATTTTTCTCATGACTATGAAAGATAAGCTGACGTCTTTTATAGTCACTTTTATATTCCAGAAGGGGCAGTCTTGTAGTCCATTCCTGCTGCATTCTGAGTATACATTTTCTAATTTTGAGCCTGTAACTATCACCCAGATTTTTTTCATTAGTATATAAGATTCAACTAATGAATTTACTGGGTTCTTTTTATAGTCTTCATCTCTGGGAAACAGGGAAAGCCACAACTTTGACAGATATCTGAATGACATTCTTTGGATTCTGCATCTCTCTCATGCTCTGCATGGCTCAGTGGTCACAATACTAAAAGTCAGACTAATAACACTGTAGCACTTTTTGCTTATACATCACATTTTCACAACCTTTTTCATGAAGTAAAGATTTACTGAGTGCTCTAGACCCTGGGGATACAAAAGTGAACACAACAAAATTCCCTGCCCGCCTGGAGCTGACATTACAAGGGAGATAGTGCCATACCAGGGGTGGAAGTGCTATGGCAAATAGCAGAGAGGCAGGGAGTCCAGGGAGGATTATCCACTTTAAAAGGTAGCCCAGGGAGGCCCCACTGAAAAGGTAACATTTCAGCAAAACCTAATAGAGGTTAAGGGAAAGAGAATGGCAGGTTTTCATGAATAGGAGCCTCTCACTTATGGTGTATTTTCTTCCATATACAGCTTTCTATTTTTAGTGGGAATCTGGGTAAGCATAATTTGGGAAGACAGCCAAGTTTATTTCTGCCACTTAATGACTATCATCCTATGTAAGGACTTGTTTCTCAGTAACTATTACTAATATATGTTAGTAATATTTGACCAAGTAATATTCATGAAATTCTTAAGGACCATCTGTTGAGGGATTACTATATAAATTTTTGTAGTTACATATCCCAAATTTAAAGCCAATTTAAAATCAATACTTACAGTTGACAGAGGATCTAATATTCTTTTCCATGGAAATCCTTAATTTTGAAGATGATCTTTTTCACATATCAAAAACTAGATGCAGACTTTATTTAATCATATCCAGCTTTGTTCCATAAAGGGTTTGAGAAGACTTCTAAGAGTACATACAAAACAAAAGGATAGAAATAAATCACTGAAGTTTAGGCAAAAGCAAAATGTGGGTGGGAAAATATTATAGCCAGGGTCAAAATTAGACACAAAAATGTAGAATATGTGATTCTGTGTAATTGTTATAAGTCAGTCTACATGTAGAGTTATAAAGTTACAAGGCAAAATGGATATGGTGCTCTCTTAAAACAGTGTTCTAAAAGTCAGAGAATTTCAGTCAATGTCTGAAATAATTCTGCTACTTGCCAGTGCTCAATTCCAGCTCCTACTCTTTGGAAGAGATGTATGAGGCTAAAAATATTAGTTGTAATATAAAACAAAGAATTGTGTTTTATTAACATCTACATTATGGATGAAATAGTGCTTTTTCTATTTAGAAATCTGATTGTGTTTCTTTCTTTGCAGGTTATATGGCGGGATGAATTACCGTCGGCTTGGAGGTGGTGTAGGAGTTATAAAAATGACACATTGTGAATCCCATATATGGTGACCATATAGAAGACAGTCATGCATTTGCTCCTCTGTATTGTGGAGAGCTTTGACTTTGGAGCTTTGTACAGCTCTAGAATACACTAAACAAATTTTATTATTTGCCGGTGCCTCAACATGTGGAAATACAGATACATTGAAAGTACTTCACCTGCAAGACGCCACCTTTGCACAATAATTTTCAGTTCTGTGCAGAAGAATATTTATTTTTGGTTTTAATTTATCATGGGATTTTTGTTGCTGGGTTTTTGGTTTTTTGTTTTGGGATTTAGCCTTCCTCCCACCAAAAGAGAAAAAAAGGAAAGACAAAAAAAAAAAAACATTTCAAGCAGTAAAACCTTATTTTTAAGATACTGATTAAGTTTGAAACTACTAATAAGGGAAGAGGTCTATATGGGATCTAGTTGTCAGTTCTAAGCACTCCATCCACAAGACTCCACTACTTACAGGGACTTATCAGTGACAAAGATAGGTATGCAAGGTGTGTTAGTTAGGCATCATTCTTGCAGTAAGCACCAGAAGACTTAAAAATCTAAAAAACAAAACAAACATCTCATTTAACTAGAACAATTCAAAAGGAATATTAAATCAATAAGACCAGGACTCAGATGCCAAAGTTTTCATCAGTGGAAGCTCACACCTTGTTTCCTTCCTTATAGACTTGCTTGCCACTATAAAGTCTTTTTTTCTAGAGTTCCTGCTAGATCTAGAGCTCTGCTCAGTGCCTCTACAAAAACAGTATATGATTCTCATATACTGTCTTGAGAATCCCCCAGTAGAATCACGTGTAACTCTGCAAGTTTTTGCTCAAAAATGTTACTGACTGAAGCAACTCTCCTTTCTATTTCCTATTGCTACTAAGGACCAGCAGGGAGAAATGGCCTCTCCCCAGCAGTGAATACTGTTATGCAATTTACACTTGATGCTCAGGCCTGCTGAAGCTGAGGCTTACCTGTAATCACAGCCTCCAAGGGAATGAATTCTTCAGTTCATGAAATAGTATGCTAACGAGTATAAAATCAATTGAGGCATTTAACTGATAAAATCTTGGTTCTTTTATAAAAACTATATATCATTATCCTCATTCTATAAAGCCACTATTACCACCACTCTCAAATTGCACTTTCTGGTAAAAAGTTAACATTTTTAAGGAAAAAGAAGAACACAGATTTCAGTGGTTAAAGTGGTTTTGTTATTGTGATCATACACCAATTTTTTCAATGTATCTTGCAGTAAAAGCTTTGAAAAAGACTAACCACAACCATAAGGAATAACCTTCTTCTCCCTCCCCTCACTACAAAAATGTTTGGCAACATTTGTGTTTACATTTAAAGATCATTTGCACCTTTATAAGGAAAAAAAATAAGTATTTGGTAAACAATTGTTTACATGCATCATTTATGCTTTTTTCTAGCATGTATAACTTTTTAAAATAAAGGTAGTACTTACCATAAAAAAATTTTGGTTAATGCTTTTTAATGCTTGTATCTCTGCTACTTAATTTAGATTTTCTGTTTCTATATCATTTACACTTCCTATTATAAAGTTAAAAGTACTTACAACCTGAAGGAATAAAGGGATTACCAGCTAGAATTATGAATGAATTTTTATTATATATTTTATATAATAGTAGTATATTACCTAACCTCTAAACTTATTTTCTTGTGTGGGACTTGGAATCAAACAATTTTGAGCTAGAAGGACTTTTAAAAATCATCTGGTCCAGGGACTTCCCTGGTGGCACAGTGGTTAAGAATCCACCTGCCAACACAAGGGACACGGGTTTGAGCCCTGGTCTGGGAAGATCCTGTATGCCGCGGAGCAACTAAGCCTGTGCACCACAACTATTGAGCCTGCGCTCCAGAGCCTGTGAGCCACAACTACTGAGCCCATGTGCCTCAACTACTGAAGCCCGCACGCCTACCGCCCGTGCTCCACAACAAGAGAAGCCACTGCAATGAGAAGCCTGCACGCCGCAACTAGAGAAAGCCCACGTGCAGCAATGAAGACCCAACACAGACAAAAATAAATTAATTAAAAAATCATCATCAACATCAGGCTTCCCTGGTGGCGCAGTGGTTAAGAATCCTCCTGCCAATGCAGGGTACACAGGTTCAAGCCCTGGTCTGAGAAGATCCCACATGTCACGCAGCAATTAAGCCACAACTACTGCGCTCCAGAGCCTGTGAGCCACAACTACTGAGCCTGTGCTCTACAGCCCTCAAGCCACAACTACTGAGTTCACATGCCACAGCTACTGAAGCCCACTGTGCCTAGAGCCTGTGCTCCACAACAAGAGAAGCCAATGCAATGAGAAGCCCGTGCACCACAATGAAGAGTAACTCCCACTCACCGCAACTAGAGAAAGCCCGCGCACAGCAACAAAGACCCAACACAGTGAAAAATAAATATTTTTTTTAATGGCTAAATAAAATCATCATCATCATCTGGTTTAAACCCATTTATCGCTCTGCTTTAAGACTGAAAACCAAGGAAGTCCTGCCTAAGTGTAAATAGTCAATGATAGAACCAACATTTGAAATCAGTTCCCCTAACTCCTACTTCATTTCTCTTTCTATGCCATACAGCCACTGCAGACCTACCTGAAACATGGCCTGGAACTAAATATACTAATAGACCTTAATTTTAAGGTCTGGTATGCAACATTGAAAAAGTATAAAAATTTTTATGAGATCATTACGGTACTGCATCACTAACAGTCAGTCTTCAAGACAAAATCACATATTTCCAAAGACTCTACTATTTCATATATTTGAAGAAAAGGAGGGGAATAGTAACAGCAACAAAATTCTAGGGGTTAGACTTTCCATAAGCAGGGAAGTCCCCAGTAAGAGCAATTCACATGGCAGTGATTCAAGAGTAGAGACCCAGGAACTATAGCACTGGCCAAAGTAACCATCGGAGTCTAAAGGGTCTTTTTTTTCCTTACACTGAAGGTGCTCCAGTTTTATTGAGTGAAGTGTACTTATTCTATAAAAGACATTGGTGTAAAATAGAATATTTATTAACTTATTTGCACAGTGATTTCCACAACACTATGAAGTAAACTTGGGTTGGGTTGGTGGTTATCTTCATTTTATAAATAAGTAAATTGAAGCTTAGAAAAGTTAAAATGACATGGTAGATGCTGAACCTCAAATGCACATCCCCTGATTCCAAACCCATTCTTCTCTATAGTTCTCTCCACATTCCCATTTCTAATGTCACTGTTCCCCAGTTTTGTTCTCCAATATTTTATCTACAAATAATCTACACTGCAGAGACTAGTTCTTGACAACTGTAAAGTAGAAAAGGTCCCTTCTGAACAATATTTGAGTGAAAGTAGGGAAAAAGCATTTCAAACTTTATATTAACTTAGGAAACAGATGGGAAAAGAAAAAAAAAATGGGATAAGGAAAGAAATAGAGGAGAGAAGAAGGAAGAGGCAAAAACAGACCAGTAAACCCAAATATCACTGGCTAGTTGTCTAAGTACTTTGTGACACTGGCTCTTTAAATTGCTTTGAGGTCTCTGTACTGGAAGTGACTGATAAGAATAGCTCCGAGAAATGACAAAACTCTTCAACTAGAGTTGTCTTAAGTGTCCTTAACAATAGTAACCTTTAAGTTATTTAGTCATGGTTAGGAACTTTTAAATGTAGAAGACGGATGGTATTATACTAACATTAAATATTCAGGGTGTTCCAATAACTGTCAGTAACCTATTAATATCCCTATCCTAGAAAGTTAGAATATTTACTAAAGGGATTCTGAATTCCTAGGAAAAGAGGACATGTATCTTCAGTGTGAATTTAGATCAATATATATTTGGACTCCTACTAAACAGAAACAGTCCCTGCCTTCAAAAAGCTTACAGTTTCAAGTAGACCTTCAAAATGGCAGAGGAGTAAGACGTGGAGATCACCTTCCTCCCCACAAATACCTCAGAAATAACATCTACGTGTAGAACAACTCCTACAGAACACCTACTGAATGCTAGCAGAAGACCTCAGGCTTCCCAAAAGGCAAGAAACTCCCCACGTACCTGGGTAGCGCAAAAGAAAAAAGAATAAACAGAGACAAAATAGGGACGGGACCTGCACCAGTGGGAGGGAGCCATGAAGGAGGAAAGGTTTCCACACACTAGGAAGCCCCTTCACAGCTGGAGACTGTGGGTGGCGGAGGGGGGAAGCTTCGGAGCCACAGAGGAGAGCGCAACAACAGGGGTGCAGAGGGCAAAGCGGAGAGATTCCCACACAGAGGATCGGTGCTGACCAGCACTCACCAGCCTGAGAGGCTTGTCTGCTCACCGGCCGGGGCAGGCGGGGGCTTGGAGCTGAGGCTCGGGCTTCGGAGGTCAGATCCCAGGGAGAGGACTGGGGTTGGCGGCATGAACACAGCCTGAAGGGAGCTAGTGCGCCACAGCTAGCCAGGAGGGAGTCCGGGAAAAAGTCTGGAACTGCTTAAGAGGCAAGAGACCATTGTTTTGGGGTGCACG